TGAATGTCTGTCATACAAGTTTGATTGTATTCTTAATATGTCACACAACATCCACATATAAACTCAGCATCTTCTTCATCAAAATACTACCGAAAGTATTTTTAACTTCACAAGGATACTCTCATTTAGACTTCCATGTAATGTAGCCATTATAATCTTACGAGAAGAATGGAATAAAAAAAGAATATAATTGAAACGTAGGATCACGTAAGTGTCTCGTTCACCCTGAGGTCAAGTTCACCGTACAAAAACCCGAAGCTTTGTAAATGTTAAAAAAAGTAAAGGTCAAAGATGCGAAAGAGAGGAAGGGGGTTGCAAGCAGAGGAATAGGCTGAAAATGGCATACAAAATTCGCGTTTCCACGGCGTCGAGAGCGTCGTCGCGGTCGTTGCTTCCCCTTCATTAAACTCGACCTCGTTACGAAAGCGTCACGATATACCGCCGGAGCTTCTCTTCATTCCCGTCGCATAATATTCGCGAAACGTTCCTTGGGTGTCGACGAACTTGGACCATTACGATGTAACTTTCACTCGAGAATTCCGCGCGTCTCGTTCAACCCTTTCTAACCCTTCCTTCCGAGCTAGAGCTCCTGTGCTATGAGTCGCGAAACACGGGAGCGACGGGAAATTGTCTGCGCCGGTGAAACGCGATGACGTATCGGGAAAACAAATTATTAATCCGGATATAATTTTACCGATTGCAACTTGGGTTGCGTCGAGTAACGTGCTAACAGAGTTCAAAGACACAGATCGGCACACTTTGTAACTCGATGCTTTCGATCGTCGTGAGTTGTAATATGATACGTGAAATCGCTATGTGTTGTAATATGATACGTCAAATCGCCACGTGTTGTAATATGATACGTGAAATCGCCACGTGTTGTAATATGATGCGTCAAATCGCCACGTGTTGTAATATGATACGTCAAATCGCCACGCGTTGTAATATGATATGTGTTGTAATATGATACGTCAAATCGCCACGTGTTGTAATATGATACGTCAAATCGCCACGTGTTGTAATTCGATACGTCAAATCGCCAAGTATTGTAATATGATACATCCAATCACCAAGTGTTGTAATTTGATACATTAAATCGCCACCACGAGTTGTAATTCGATACCTGAGATCTGTGCACTGAAATTCAATACGTCGAATCACCACGCATTGTAATTCAATGCGTCGAGAATCACCAGGTAATTCATTGGATCATTACGTGTTAAAATTCAATGGAGTGAATCGCCACGTAATTCAACACATTATCCCCTGTGTAACATTGAATAATAGATATATTAAATTCGTAGGATCAATGAATTATTCCGATAACTGGCATTTAAGAACAAAGAATCCGTGTAGCTGCTGAATGAATTTAAATTATTAAGCAAAGGCGTCGCAACGAGTCGCTGAAGTGGAACATCTCGTAGCAGTTCTTTTTTTTCAAAAAGAGGAGGCAAAATAAAATGGAAGCAAGGTCTCCTCGTTTCTACTCGTTATTTTATTAAGCTCATTACCGTTGGTCTTTACTTGTCTACTCTTATTTACTTAAGCTCCTCTTCTCGACCTATTTTGCTCTTTGCTCTTCGATCCATTCACTATAGAAGCTTAAAAAGATCCTTATCTTTTTTCTTCGTCCTTTTTTTTGGAAGCTCGATGTTCTATCGCGGATCTCGAGTTTAATCAGGATCCTCTTATAGATGCAGCAGGACTTCGTTAAAGTAATCCGTGGATCCGAATGTATCGCGGCTCTGATCTTGTTCCTTGGAACAATTTCCTTGATTTCAACTTTCAACAATCTTGCGGAACCGTTGATCTTATCGCGCTGTATGCATTTAAATCGTCAGAAGTATAAGAAATTAGGGCCAAGACAATTTTGTACTCGAGTATTATTGTTATTATCCTGTCGACAAAATTCCTCTACTTGCCTGATGTTTTTCAACGAAGCTACTGTAGTACATGTTGAATTTACCGAAATCATGTCACGATTTTTATGCTTGCAGTACTATGGGGACTCAATCGATTAATACTGTTAATATTTGATGTATCAACAATGAATATGTCGGTATTATTAGAGGTAAATATTGACGTATTATCAATATTGTAATATTGTCAGATTTTTTGACTAATATTATTTCTGTTGTCAGTAAATATTACAAATGGCTTTATAATAATTTTCAATTTTTGCATAAGATGTTTTTTTATTAAGAATTTGGTCTTCCTGCCGCCGGCAACAAATTTCTAGAGAATTCGTAGCGAGACTATATATCTCCCTGTTCCTCGCAATCCGTGCACTAGTTTCGCGACTTTGTGGCCCGCTAGACGGATACGTACGTACGTTCTCGTTTGTTTACGCCTGTAATCTCACGAAAAAAGACGGCAGATCGTAAACCGTGGCATAAGAAACTTTTTCCCCCTCGGCGCGAAACTTTCATGCGACTGCAACCAGGCCAAGAACAAAAACTACGCTAAGTTTTTTCTCGGTCAGTCCTTAATAGCGTGAAGTAATTTCTTGCCGGTCGTTTATTTACTTCGCAATCAGAAAATCGTATCTGCGAACTCGCGGTCAGAAAGGATGAATTCGCTGTTTGAAACCGATTCCGTCGGACGAAAAAGTTCCGCGGGAACAGTATTCTGAAAACAGAAACTATAACTTCTCAGAATTTTCAAGGAAGAACTGCTTCCCGACAGACACCAGGTGACTGGTTCGCCGCGAAAAGATGAGCGGATTCGCGAGGAAAAGTAATTTTCCAGGGAAAACGAAATTTAATCTGTTTCTCGCCGCACTTTTAATGGAAACCAATTCCTCGCTGCAAGAACCCGGTTTACTTCTTTTTTTGTGATTATGACCCGTGTTCAAGTTCATAAAAGCTTTGTTATAAATCACTATGATGGTAAAAATATTAGGAAGATGGATAAATTTTAAGTAGATACGCTTCATAGTTGCATGATCGGTTAAGCCACTTATACCGACCACGGGTTTACGGTTGCGAAAGTAATAAATCCACGTCCTATTTTGAACGAACGAAAGGAAATAGTCGGTTGTAATTCTTGCGAAAGGATTCTACGAACCTTTGAGACTTCGCTGGCCTCCCACAAACTGTAAATCCAAATCTCGTGGTATAATCCGCTTTGCAAAAAGGATTGGACGGCGACAAATTTATTTATACAAAAAGTATTTTTTTAACGAAAATACGTTCGATTATTCATGAAACAATTTACAGCTACCACAGCGGAAACATTGTTTAAACAAGCGTTCATATTCTTCTTTCCACGGCTGTTTTCAGAGGAAATGAGTAAAACGTGTACGTCTGATAGCAAAGAGGTTATCCAATAAACGAAGAACTCGTAATTGGTGTTCGTCGAGACGGAAATAAATCGATTCGAATCGCGGGTAAAAATTCACAAAGCAGGATTCAGTTAATGCGAGCTTTAAAGAGGATTTCAGGAGAAAATAAAAATGTTTCTCCACGATGGAATCGGTTATTACAAAGTTTTTTAATAAAAATATTTCGTGGGAACTGAATCATCTGTAAATTCGGTATCGCTATACACTATTGAACACTGCAACATTTTCGATGAAACTTTGTAAAATTTTTGTTAGCTATCACTGTTTTTGAAAAGTTCCAATTCAGGGAACATGTGCAACAAAATTGTTTAGTTAACAACAGGAGTTTGCACGAATAACTATTTATCAGTACGTGCAAAAAAACCCATATTTCAATTGTTTCGAATTCATTTCAATTTTCACTGAACCTCAATAAGGAATCTCGACCCATTAATCGTTTAATCTACCATGACACTTGCCTATCGCCTGTCAGTTGATCAGAGATCTCCAACCTGCGGTACATCTACGGTTACACGCTTCGATTCTGTACGTGCGGTACAAACCGAAATTCCTCCCGAGGCTACACGAGGTGAAACTTGAAACACCGCACGTGTCGTTTCTCTCTGTGATGTTACATGACTCGATGTTTCATCTTGTAACGACGCGGTCGTATAGCTGGGTGGACGCGGTAATTCCAGTCGAAAGGGCTCGAATCCCAAAGAAATTGAATTACCCACAGCTGACGTGTCCATCGTGATCGAGGCGATCAAATCCTCTCCAAGCGTCTCGTTAATCCGGTTGGACGTTTAACGACGCGTTACTTTGTGGATTTTTAAGGGTAATTATCCAAGAAGGCTTCGAGCTTTTGAAGGACACTGGTGCAGAAACATCTGTCGAATTTTTATTTCTTTCTATACATTCTAAATTGCTGGGTTCTCTTTCGTTGTAATTCGATTGCTTCACCATTAGTTGTAATTCGATGCGATGGAGTCAACACGTGCTGTAATTCGATATGTCAAAGTCACCACGTGTTGTAATTCGATACGTTGCATCACTACGAGTTGTAATTCGATATGTCAGAATCACCACGTGATGTAATTCGATACTTCGGAATCACCATAAGTTGTAATTCGATGCGTCGGAATCAACACGTGCTGTAATTCGATATGTCAGAGTCACCACGTGTTGTAATTCGATACCTCGGAATCACCACGTGTTGTAATTCGATACGTTGCATCACCACGAGTTGTTATTCGATACCTCGGAATCACCACGTGTTGTAATTCGATACGTTGCATCACCACGTGTTGTAATTCGATACCTCACATCACCACGTGTTGTAATTCGATACGTCGTGAGTCACCAAGCATTGTAATTCGATGCGTCGACCTACCAGTTGCTGTAATTCGATACGTCGCAACATCTTCAAGCTTTTAAATGACAAATTCTGTATTCTCGAGCTGTTTATTTTCAAAAGCACACCATGTCGAAACAAATGGAATATCGAAACAGATACAGCGACATAGATAATTGTCAAAGTTTGTTTTTCGACTATTTGTATTACCCTCAAAGAAACATCGCACTCTCTCACTTTTATCGTACGGGTGTTTTGCTTGAAAGGAATCGAATATGTGATTTGAAGCGGAAACTGATCAATTCTTGCATTGTCTGATTTCAGAAGATGGGCTCCGTTCACGGCGAAGAGTTGCCATTCGTTTTCGGTGCACCATTGGTGGATGGTTTCGGCCACTTCCCAAGAAACTATACCAGATCTGAAGTGGCACTTTCGGAGAGCATCGTACAGTACTTCGCCAACTTCGTCAGAACTGGGTGAGTAGAAAATGATCTCGATCAGTTGTTCGAGCACTTCCACTGGTCCCATTTTTCGTATCTTCGATCACGTTTATTTCGAATATGCAAGACCTCGATTCGGTTCCTACAATTTCGCAATCGAACAAATTTGAATAATAAATCAGGAGACTGTAGGTTCGCTTTAAGTTGAAATAAAGAATATATACCGGGTGCTGTCATCGCAAATCCATTCTTCGTCGCTTTGTGAATTTCAATTTTCATCGAGAAGCAGTCGGAAAAGCAATCCCTTTTCCCTTTGAATCAACAGCAGTGTGGCACCGCTTGCGCGAAATCAATTTGCGAGCTGCTGCGTACGCGGCGGAAAGAGGAAGAGAAAAAACAGAGAGGATCCCGTCGCCGAAAGGTCTAATTTTCCATATTCATGAATGAGAACAGAGGCGAAAAAGGGGAGGAACAGTCCGCGGAAACAGAGGCGGGACTGGATTAGAGAAAAAATATTTTTTTGAATCCAATCGCAACTCCTGCATTTTCCAACCTAGAATTTCGGACGAATTTCCTTATTCAAATTTATGGATTAGGTCACTTGGTCACTGATAGTTATTTTCATTCTACAAAAATTTACAGCTGAAAAATTGGTACACGATACTCTTTAAAATCAGTTACATTGAATCGCTATATGGCCGTGCAATTCTGTCCGTAATTCTACACGCTGTATTCGCGCTGTGATTCTACGGATCGGAATTGTATTGTACCGGAACGTATAGTTATTCTACGCGTTACCGTCGCGTCACAATTACACTGCGCTTCAATTGAAAATCCTCGAAATTCAATTCAGTTTTATTAAGTAACATAAACCGTGAATTACACGTGAGGATATTACTGTCAAAGAAGGTTCCTCTGATATTTGTTATTGATTTTCCATCGTTTGCAGCGTTGCGTTTCGATGTTGGAATATGTTTTATTAACTATCGAGGCCCGCACTTTTGCCCAGCGGAAATATATCCAGGCCATCGAGCTCGTGGATACAAATTGATATGGCCCAAAGAAAAAAGCCCCCAGAACATGGCTCGATAAATATTCAAAAAGTAGAGATGAAATATTCATGAACGTAAACGCGAATTTAGCTGGACATCAAACACACGTTTACGCCGGTGGAATATTTTTTTTCGGGAACGATGCATTCTCCCGGCTATAATTGCCGTTTTAGCTTCCGGTTTCATCATTTCCGTCGTTCAAATTCCTGTCTGTTGTTGGTTGATCGATTTGATTCTTCCAGCCTTTGTCGCTCAATTTTTCAATATTTCCCGGATTGTATTTTGCAAAATTAAATTCTATTCCGTCCTCAAACGAAACCGGGAAGCCAATCTTTCTGGCAACGAAACGTTAATTAAGCCTTTACTCCGTTCCGCGTCACGGAACGTTCTAAAAAATGAATACTAATTTTTTAACGACACTGAACGACCTTTCAACCTTCTTCCAAATCATGCTCGAAAGGTACGAGATATTAAGCAGAAATTCTCTGGAGTACTTCCGTTTAATGAGTCACCTTTTGTGCTTCACGTTCGAGAAACTGTGTCAATTTTTCACGGACTTATTCGTTCCTGTTGTGAACATGTTTCAGATTTTTTCAAACGAGTCTACACGATTTAAATACGTCATTTGAAATTCTGCTCTTGATCAGAATAGACCCATTGTTTTTAATAAAATATTGATTGAGAAAATGGACTTGGATTACGAGCTAATTCGAATTTGCAAGTTCAATCGATGGATCAGAGGCTTAATTAATCTTACTTGAACCAATTGTAAGCTTAATCAGTTTAAGCTTAATCAATCTAAGTTGGACCAATTGTAAGCTTAATCGATGCAATCATAAGCTTAATCAATTCGTCCAGAACTGATAGCAAGTTTAATCAATACGATGTTGCCGTTGTTTCGAATATCCATCTATTTAATTCGCAAATAAAATGCAAATAGAAATCAAATTACTGTCGGTAGATGGTATCTCGGGATTCGAGAAAGCTCGGAATCGAACAACGGAAACTGCAAAACCAGATATGGCTTGTAAGTATCGAGGTTCAACTAATCGCGTAGCTGGATCACGCTCGTCCGCGCGTTTCCTGCGGCAAGAAGACGTACAATAACAAGTAATTTCGGCCGCGAGTTTAGAGATACGACCACGTACACGAAGATATTACGTGATACCGGTCGCACCCCGATGCTTCTGTTTCCCTACGTGACGTGCTGCACCAAGACAAAAGCCATTTGTGCCAAATAATTCGAGGCTTTGTTGTTTCGCGAACAATATTGAGTCGATATTCCACTTTCCAGTTCAAATTGAAGTTGTTTGTTGCTTAACAAATTCGTGACAATTCTATCTGCGCTGCTCCTGTACCTTTTACCTTCTATTCTATAGATTCTCTTTGGAAATTTTATCGGTTTAAAAAAAGCAATTCATAGAAAATCACTAGACGATATTGCAACGAGTTGCAGCTCTACGTTTTCTGTCGTCGCGGTATGACATCATGCTTCGTAAGTCCATGCGCTTTAATTTCTCGCGCGGTTGCTCCACGCTCTGTAACTTCACGCACTGTAACTCCATATGTTATAACTCCACGCGCTGGAATTCCACGTTCTGTAATTTCATATATGTTGTAACTCCACGCGCTGGAATTTCACGCATTGTAATTCCATATGCCATAACTCCACGCGTTCGAATTCCACGCGCTGGAATTCCACGTTCTGTAATTTCATATGCCATAACTCCGCGCGTTGGAATTCCACGTTCTGTAATTTCATATATGTTGTAATTCCACGCGCTGTAATTTCACGCATTGTAATTCCATATGCCATAACACCACGTGTTCGAATTCCACGCGCTGTAATTTCATATATGTTGTAATTCCACGCGCTGTAATTCTACGCATTGTAATTTCATATGCTATAACTCCACGCGCTGGAATTCCCCGTTCTGAAATTTCATATATGTTGTAACTCCACGCACTGTAATTTCACGCATTGTAATTCCATATGCCATAATTCCACGCGCTGGAATTCCATGTCCTATAATTTCATATATACTGTAACTCCACGCGTTGTAATTCTACGTGCTGTATTTCCATACATCGTAACTCCACGCTCAGTAATTCCTCGCACTGTAATTTACCGCGATTCTTCGTACTCCACATTTCCCCACATTTTATCGCCACATGTTATTACTATCCGCACAATAAATCCCAAAACCTTTCATTAACAGCACGCAAGTCCTCAGTCTCTATATTTCTCTCGATCCGTTTTCATCTTCCACCAATATCCCTCAACCTCTCGTTCCACCTTCCATATCCGTTTCTGTCGAATTTCCATGATTTCTAACTGCTTTTTCTGTCTTCGTACATCTTTCCCGCGTTTCTCACTCTCCTCCTCTCGTTCTCTTTTTCCCTCTGGTTTCTCGGTTCCCGTCTCTCTGGCCACGCATGAATATGCAAAAGCGAGGTTGAAACGAACCGATGATATTTCAGTGAGGTCCTCGCCTCGAGCGACGTAAATTTCGCTTTGTCGATACACCCCGAGAGCACACCGCCCCTGCGCCTCGACCCCTTCTGCACACACGCGCACAAGATACCCGTCGCGAACGTGTGCGTGCACACTTACACGACGTATAATGTCGAGAATTGATATGCGGTAATGCGATTCGCGTTTTCGGCGCGACGATCTACAATCGGGGCTTTAACGATCGACAAAATGCACACGGGGGTGAAATAGGGGTGCTCTGTAAGCGGCCTTCTTAAATCTTACCCGCGATCGCCCGCAGGGCTTCGCGCTTTCGCAATTTTTACTCTGTTATTTTTCATGTATTCACATTTTGCGTGTATGCTCTTATGGTCTCATTTTCTACATCAAAAACCTCGGCGATATCTTCATGTACTATCTTCTGAAATAGAAAGAATCGGAATACATTTTTTATTAAAAAATTCAGTTCACACTCTGAAGGTTTTATGCTCGAAAGTGGTACAGAAACATCTTTTGAATTCTGAATTCTCTCTATACATTCTAAATTGCTGGGTTCTGGTTCTCTTTCGTTGTAATTCAATAGGTTGCTTTACCGAGAGTTGTAATTCGATGCGACGGAATCAACACGTGCTGTAATTCGATATGTTGCATCTACACGTGCTGGAATTCGATACGTTGCTTCACCACGAGTTGTAATTCGATGCGTCGGAATCACTATACGCTGTAATTCGATGCGTCAGAATCACCACGTGCGGTAATTCGATATGTTCCAGCTTCTCAAGTTGTAATTCGATGCGTCAGAATTACCACGTGCGAGGTTGAAACGAACCGATGATATTTCAGTGAGGTCCTCGCCTCGAGCGACGTAAATTTCGCTTTGTCGATACACCCCGAGAGCACACCGCCCCTGCGCCTCGACCCCTTCTGCACACACGCGCACAAGATACCCGTCGCGAACGTGTGCGTGCACACTTACACGACGTATAATGTCGAGAATTGATATGCGGTAATGCGATTCGCGTTTTCGGCGCGACGATCTACAATCGGGGCTTTAACGATCGACAAAATGCACACGGGGGTGAAATAGGGGTGCTCTGTAAGCGGCCTTCTTAAATCTTACCCGCGATCGCCCGCAGGGCTTCGCGCTTTCGCAATTTTTACTCTGTTATTTTTCATGTATTCACATTTTGCGTGTATGCTCTTATGGTCTCATTTTCTACATCAAAAACCTCGGCGATATCTTCATGTACTATCTTCTGAAATAGAAAGAATCGGAATACATTTTTTATTAAAAAATTCAGTTCACACTCTGAAGGTTTTATGCTCGAAAGTGGTACAGAAACATCTTTTGAATTCTGAATTCTCTCTATACATTCTAAATTGCTGGGTTCTGGTTCTCTTTCGTTGTAATTCAATAGGTTGCTTTACCGAGAGTTGTAATTCGATGCGACGGAATCAACACGTGCTGTAATTCGATATGTTGCATCTACACGTGCTGGAATTCGATACGT